GGCATTCACAGCCCCCCAGTCAAGGTATCTCCTGTATTCCCCCGGCCTCAGCAGGTACTGCCTTCCCCTGTAATTGGGCATCTCATAAAAGACCCAGGAGCCTTCCAGAACATTGACAGAGTGGATTTCATTGAGGTGGAAGCGATCCTGAAGTGAGAGACAATCATCTGTGATCTCGGACATTTGTCCTCTGAAGTCATCTCTCTCATAGATCTTCATTCTGTAAGTGCCAGAATGCTGGGAAGAAAGCAGAAAAGCTATGTAAGCAAACAGGAATAGAAATAAAAATTATAGGCCTATGCCTACTCGTCACTCCTGTCCCAAAGCTCTCTGAATCTAAGTTTGCTTCCAGTAGAGCCATGGTACAGAGTTCAAACACTTTCCTGACTGATTATTTTTGGGAAAAGCTTGCATGAAATTCAGACTCCACTAGTCCCTGGTCCTTGGGAATTAAGGCTTACCTACAAGAATGTAGATCACCTTAGTCCTTGTCATTAGAGAGGGTTTTTCTCAAAAGAGAAACAGGTATTTTTAAAGTTCTGGATCTCAAACTTAATTTTGGGAAGTTGGCTTTTCTTCTAATTTATATCTTTTAAATCAGGTCTATATTAATCACAAAGTTAGAAAGCTGAAAACAGTAGCTTATCAGCCTCAGGAAGAATAATCAAATTAGAAAAGTAAACCAAAGCAAGCAAAAGTATTTCTATTATTTAAACAGCCAGATTTTATAAATCTAGATAGTTTCGGACTTCTGAACTGTAGCTCTTGGAATAACCACTATAGAAATTTATACATGAGGCCAGAACAATAGTACAGTGGGTTGGGCATTTGCCTTATTGGAGGTCCTCACTGACCTGGGGTAGATCCCTGGCACTGCATGGTCCTTGGACTCCACCAAGAGTGATTCCTGAGTGTAGAACCAGGAATAACCCCAGCACCACCATGTGTGAGCCGTGCCAAAACAAAATATTATATCTATGTTTTGGGGCAAAGGACAAAAAAGTGACACTCAGAGGTTACTCCTGACTCTTCAGCTCAGGAATTACTCCTGGCAAGGATTGAGGAAATTGAGCCCAGATCTGCAGCTGTACCCACTACGCTGACTCTCCTCTAATTCATTGATCAGTCTTTCGGGTTTTTATTGCAATTAAATGAAAAAATGTGGGAACAGGTCATTCATTCCATAAACACCACATAGTTCAGGGTGAATGACTTTCCACCTGAGCTATTCGTCTGAACCCAGGGACAGTCCTCGACCTCTCTCCACTCTTAACGAGACTGATTGGTGATATCCGTGACGTCTGTCATTTCCGAAGAGACTTAGAACAGAGACTGAGCCCACTCACCTGCGGGACCAGGCGGCAGGAGCGGATGGAGTCGCTGAGGCCCATCCACTGCTGGAAGTCCGGGTAGTCCCCGCGCCGCAGGAAGTACTGGTGGCCCTGGTAGTTGGGGCGCTCGTAGAGCATCCAGCAGCCGCTGTCCACGCGAATGGAGTTGCAGCGGCTGAAGTAGGACTGCAGGTTGGAGTGGTCGCTGCTGCACTCATAGCAGCGGCCTTGGAAGGCGCGGTCCTCGTAGAAGGTGATCTGTGAAATGAAAGATGGGGGAGTGCACGCAATGACTTGCCATCCTCTCTAAGAGGCCCCGACAAGGCAAAGGAAGGGAATGTCCAGCACTTACCTTTCCCATTTTGAAGCGAGTGAGCCAGAGCAGTTAGCAGGGGATGTGGGGGCGAGGGTAGAGCCCCTGTATATATAACAGCCCTGACTGCTGCCTCCGCAGGAAATCACACAAAAGAGCCTGGGTTTCGGTGAGTAAGGGGATTTGCACTCTCCCCCTACGCCCCCCTCCCCCAACAGAGTGAGTTGAATGGTTTGCTCTCATTCTTTCTGGGAGGCTCCACTATTCTAATTCATTGTAGCTGTTGCCATCAAAATTAAGTTTTTGTTGATTGAGCAAAAGGATAAGAAAAATCCACACTTCTCTAGTGTATGCCACATGATTTCTCAAAGGTAATGAATCTAAACAACGCGTTCTTTCCAGGGACTGTGATTAGGAATTGTAATGAAGTGATCTGTGAAAGTGATTTGAAAAGAAAAAAAAAAAAGCTTAGTTCAAGAGAATCAGCGATTGTGCCAGAGTTGTTATTTCAGGCTTCTCTTGAGAAGAGTTGATACTTGTGTGGGCATGTGTCAGTTGCTGGAGGGTGGGATTTCTCACAGGTGCTGTCTACCTCTGGGTCTTAGAGTCCATGGCTGGCACATAGCAAGTCCTTCTACTTGGCTTTAACCTGGAAGAAGATGGCAAGTACTGTGATCTTCCTCCCTTTCTCCATCTTGGAACCTAAAGTCTTCCTTCTGTGTGTGACTGTCCTGAGTGCTCACTACTCTTTGGTCTTGTCTACTCTTTGCCTTTCTTCAGATGTCTGAACTCTTTCTTTCCTCTTCAGCATGAAAACTCTTGCTCACTTGTTAAAGGCTTTTTGAATTCAGGGAAGAAGTGAAGTAGAGTTTCTTTAAGTTCCACACAGCCCATTACTTCAGACTAAATAGGATCAGACACAGCCTCTTTGTAATGTGGATTTTACAAACAGGTGTGGAGACTCCTGGAATTGCCGAGATACTGCCAGGAGGTTTAGAAACAAAGCAGTTTCCATAACAACACCAAGATATAATTTTTATGCCCATATTCTTCGTGAGTGTACAGTGGAATTTTATTTTTTATTTTTTAAATTTTTATTAGTGAGACACCATGAGGTACAGTTGTAGACTTACAAATTTTTGTGCTTGGGTTTCAATTATACAATGATCAAATACCCATCCCTCCACCAGTGCCCATTTCCCACCACCACGGATTCCAGTATCCCTCCCACCCCCCACCCCTACCCCCATTCCACCCTGCCTCTGTGGCAGGGCATTCCCTTTTGTTCTCTCTCTCCTTTTGGGTGTTGTGGTTTGCAAAGGAGGCATTGGGTGGCAATCATGTTTGGTCTATAGTCTACTCTCAGCACGCTTCTCCCATCCTGGGAGGATCTTTTCAACACCCTTTGTTTGGTGCTCCCTTCTCTATCTCAGCTCCCTTTTCCCCTAGCATGTGTGGCTGACCTCTAAGCCATGGAGCAAAATTCTACAGTGGAGTTTTAACAGAGGTTGAACGATTAAAGAGATTTGTAAAAATATACAGCAATGCCATTAACTGTTATTGTCTTGAAAAATATGGCCATTATTCATAAAAAGGGGCTATCTAAGTGAGCCTATAATAGACTTGTAGTCCAAGGTTCTTCCTATACAAGGAAAAACCTAATTGGAATAGAATCAATACAGTATCTGGTGGAGACCAAGGTCAAAGCATCACTTTCCAGGGGTGATAGAGTATGGTGGAGTGGTTATAAAATTCTGGGTCCAGTTTAATTCTTTGTACTATGTGACATTGTATAATTCAGCTTCAACCTCTTACAAATCCAGTGACAGTCATACAAGAACGTCAAAACAAATATTTATGTTGAGACATACTATAGAACAGCTAAAATCTCTAGAAATAAGACATTGACTGAAGAGTTTGGTGAGAATGAGCCTTATTTGTTAATTCCAAAGTAATAGCAAAGTCATCTTGGCCTTAAAACAGAGGCCTATGAGAATAGTACCAGGAATTTTGCTGAGGGGAATGCCCTGCCACAGAGGCAGGGGGGGATGGGGGATGGGTGATGGGAGGGATACTGGGATCCGTGGTGGTGGGAAATGGGTACTGGTGGAGGGATGGGTATTTGATCATTGTATAATTGAAACCCAAGCACAAAATTTGTAAGTCTACAACTGTACCTCACTGTGTCTCACTAATAAAAATTTTAAAAAAAAAAGAGGCCTAGACTCAAGTTCTCCCAGTTGACCAGTCCCCTGCTAATGTTAAGACATCAGAGACCCAGGTTTGGTTTGGTGGTGGTGGGGCGGGGAGGGAATTTGTGCTCTTGAAGCCTGCACCATTGATTGCTTGGAGAAAGAGCAAACATTTGCATATTGAAGCCTGCCCTGTTGCTGGAGGAAGAGCGAATACTTGCATACAACACTACCCAGGCCAGCTACCCTGGCTCTCCCCGGGCCTGGCACTCACACTGCTTTCTCGTAAGTGTTTTCCTCTGCAGTGCTACCAAGCACCATAAAATTGTTGAGTAGATACTTCTTGCAGAGAACCCATTCCGGGAGCAATGGCTATACACACCCACCTCACTTCTGCAGTTTCTGGAAAGTTGCTTAAAATCCCCAAGCCTGTTTCTCCTTTATAAAATAGGAATGGCCATGAAACTCTCATGGCATTACAGGTTTGGAAGCATATGGTAAAGTCTGAAGTAATACCAAATAGTAAAAATTATGATCGTTCAGGGCCAGAGAGCTCTTCCAGGTGGAGTGTGCTTGCTTTGCACACAGCCTACCTGGGTTCTGTCCTTGGCTTTTGAATGATCAGCTTCCAGTGTAATGGGGGCAAGAGTGATAGCTGGTATGTATGGTAGTCTGGCTACTGTGTTGGCAAGAACAACACAAAAAATATTGGGGGTAGTACTTGAAAGGATTTCTATGTTCTTTCCTTAATTTTATATAGATACTGGGTAGTAGGGAGGGAGCTCGCCTTCTCACTGGCTCTACTAGTTGTCCCCACAAGCTCTTGTGAAAGGATTTGAAGTTAGTGAGGACCTTGGGGATGAAAGGTGAGCTTCTCATTCTATGTCCAGAAATACATTCATGCCCAGCATTTCATAATGTACACCTATTGAAATGGCCAAGATGAGGTTAGGGTTCCATTCGGGCAAGTCCTGATAATCCTATGAGTTCTAGAAGGATTTGATGGGCTAAGAGGCAACCAAATTATGACAAAAAAAACTCCTCTAATTGAAAAAAAAACAGATGCCTAACATGTTTTTAGGAGAGGTACTGAAAGCCTGGAACATTTTCTTTTCATAGTAGCTACTAGAGTCTACTGATAGAAAACTTACAGCCAATTTTTTATTAATGCTTTATTAAAATGTTTTTGTAAATTTTTCCATATGATAACAGAGTTAAGGCAATTCATGACAGATTAATTTTATTTTGGACTTTAGACTTTGGAAAACTACCCCTTATTCCACCACTTTATAATACTCAGTGCTAAACATTTGTAAAGTGCTTCAAAGGCCTGATATGACAGAGATATCATTTGTTCTTGAAGTTCTACAATCAGCAATTTTATGATCACAATGAAATGTCATACAATTTGCACTTTTAAAAAATTAGAATGTGCCCATATATATACTTCTATGAATAGAAAGCTCAGAACCCCAATAAACATTTCAATGATCTTGCATTAGAAGCTAAATGAAAAGAAAAATATATGCTGTCCATAGTTGTAGTTTTGAGATGTCTCTATTACTCTCCCAGAAATTTTATTATAAAGTTCCACACTGCAGTTCCAGCTTTCTATGTGACCTGCAGAATAAAAAGATGATTTTAGTATCAAGCACATCAATTTAATCTGTACCCATACAAATTAAATTTCAGTTTATAGGGAGTTAAGCTCAAATGTCAAATATAATTTACTAACAAAAGTGGATTAAAATTAATGTAAGTAAAAAAGAGTTTCATGGGCCTATTCTGAGACATTTAGAAATTTAATTATTTTCTCAGTTAAATGTAGTCTATGAATTCATATTGGATCCTGTGCAGAAATAGAAATGTTTTAAAAGGAAATTATTGGACTAAGTAAAAAATGAGTTGTCATACATTACATTAGATAAAAATAGCCATATTAGATTTTCTGGAGATGATGACTATACTGTGGTCATTCAAGAGAACAAATGTCTTAGAAAATACATACTGAACTGCATAAAAGCAAAATGAAATTGTGTAAGTAACCTCAATGAAAAATTTTATAGATAAATGGAGAGAGGGGTGGGTAGAGATATTAAAATGATAAAGGCAATAAGTGAACATCAATAATTGTGGAATCTGAAAGTTATGAGAATTCTCTATATTTTTTCAAAATTTTAAGCTATAAATTTTAAAATAATGATAAATAATAGGGCTGGAGCGATAGCACAGAGGTAGGGTTTTTGCCGTGCATGCAGCCAACATGGCCGACCCGCGTTCGATTCCTCCGCCCCTCTCGGAGAGCCCGGCAAGCTACCGAGAGTATCTCGCCCGAACGGCAGAGCCTGGCAAGCTCCCCGTGACGTATTCGATATGCCAGACACAGTAACAACAAAGTCTCCAATGGAGTCATGACTGTGCCCGCTCGAGCAAATCGATGAACAACGGGAGGACAGTGACAGTGACAGTGATAAATAATAAAAGTAATATCCTCTTTGAGTAACCATATACAAAGCTAATAATTTCTTTGCATGTGATTATTATACCTGTAATATGTTAGCCTGAACGATATACTGGTTTTAATTAAATTACTCCTTTTCCATATCTGATAAAGGCAGTTTGAAGTCTCCAACTATAAATGTGAATTCATCTGTTTTTCCTTGAAGTTTGATTAACTTTTATCTCATATAGTTTGAAACAGTGTTCCGTGCATAAATGTTAAGAATTGTTATTCTCTTAAAGAATTGAACCATTTGTCATTAAATAATACTCTTTATCCTTGATAATTGCCCTGAATTTTGCTTTATTTTAACTATTGTTAGAGTGGTATATATATTTTCTTAATCTGTGAGTGTGTGTAAGAAAGAGAGAGAAAGAGAGAAAGGGAGAGAGAGAGAGAGAGAGAGAGAATATCCAGGGCATCAAATAAGTTTCACAGGTACTCTAAGACAGACCATCATCCCCAACTCCCATTTACTTTAAATCTATCTATATTATCTGTACAGCTAACTAAAGTGGGTTTCTTGTAGTAAGCATGTAATAAGTCTTGCTCTTTTGATCCAGTCTGACAATGTCTGTATATTTTTGTAGTTTTGTTACAAAAATTTTCATTCAGAGGGACTGGAGAGATAATACAGAAGTTAAGGTGCTTGCCTTTCACATCTCTGGTTTGGTCTCTGGCACCACATACTTTCAAACCCCAAGACCACCAGGAGTGATGCCTGAGCACAGAGCCAGTATTAAGTCCTAAGCTCTGGTGGGTGTGGCTCCCAAGCCAAAAATAATCAAGTGAATAAAATAAGCATTTTTGAAAGGAAAAAATAAAAAGGCAATAAGTGATAACAATCAATAATAAAAGTAATATTCTTTTATTATTTGTATAATGAAGATATATATGTTCAGCATGAGATTTTGTAATTGTTTATCACATGTGCTTTTACATGTATCATTGCATCTCTCCTTCTCTCTCCCTGTTTATCAACCATCTTATTCTTATATGTACTTTAAAGTATTCAGCAAAACAGGGTCCAAGTCAAAGAGCAGTGGGTAAGGTTTTTGGCATGCATGTGGCCATGTGGCCAACCTGTGTTCAACCTCCAGCACCCCATAGGGTTCCCTGAGTACCACTAGCGATGATCCCTGAGCACAGAGCCAGGAGTAAGCCCTAAAACATCAGGGTTTCATGTGGTCCCCAAAACAAAAACAAAAAAAAAAGCAGCAAATTTCAGTACACTTTACCCCCAAAACTTAAGTTTAGGTAACAAAAATTGAATTCATTATTTATGGGTAAATTTTACATATGAAATGTGAAAATCCTTACTTTTCTATTTCATGAATTTTGACAAATAAATTCCTAGAGTACATAGATTCATGCTGTCAAAAGAATCTCTGAGGGATGGAAGTGGTCCCTGTTGTCTGGATATAGTAGCTACTAACCACGAGGAAATGATTACTAAATTTTAAATTAGTACATGAAGATGATTGATTATTGCTATAGTTGAATTAATATCTACCATATGTCATACTGTTTTTCTATTTGCTACTCTTGTACTTCATTTTTACTTATCTCTCATTATTTTTCTGTCTTCTGTTGTTTGAATGAGCATTTTATTTGGTCCTATTAGTTTAACTTTTTATATCAGTTATTTCTTTTTACAAAGTTTTAAAGAGGGAGGTTGCCCTAGAGTTTGCAATATACATTTATAGCCAATCTAAGTCATTTTCAAATAGCATTGCTCAACTTCCTCCTGTCCCTTGTATTAATGTTGTCATTAACTTCACTTTTAATGTACTGGGTACTTTACAGTGGGAACGGTGGGTAGGGCGCTTGACCAGCTTGAATTCAATTCTCAGCACCATATACAGTCTCCAGAATTGCTCTAGGAGTGATTGCTGGACACAGAGTCAAGAGTAAACCCTGACACTACTGAGTGTGGCCCCAAACCAAATATTAATGAGCTAAAAACATTTGAACTATAATCTCTTAAAGTAAAAATAACACTAATTTTACTTTCAGTTATTTTGTCCAGTGTTCTTCCTTTCTTTATATAGATCCAAATTTCTGACCCATATTATTTTCCTTCTCTCCGAAGAGCTTTCACTCCACTCTCTTCTGGTTTGCATGGTTTCTAAGAAGTTTTAATTTTGTTCCTATGTAAGTAAGGCTTCACCCAATTCTTTCAGGATTTTCCTCCTATAGTTGAAAATGATATGTTGTGGGGCCAAAGCAATAGCACAGCAGATAAGGAACTTGCCTGGTAGGCAGCTGACCTGGCATCGAGTATGGTCCCCCAAGCACTGCTAGGAGTGATTCCTGAATGCAGAGCCAGGAGTCTCCAGAGAACCACTGGGTATGACCCAAAAAAAGAGTTGCTGCCCTATTGGAGGTGGTGTCAGAGTGATAGTACAGCAGGAAAGACACTTGCCTTGCACTCTGCCAATCAGGTTCAATCCTCCGCATCCCATATGGTCCCCCAGGCACTGCCAGGAGTAGTTCCAGGGATTTATCCTGCTTTGTGTTCTCTGAGCTTCATGGATCTGTGATTTGGTATGCAAACTTATTTTGATGTTGCTATTGTTTCAGATATGTCTTTTGTATCTGTCCCACAGTTTGGGGACATTTTACTTCTTTACCTCCATTCAAAGTCAGAGGTTCTTTTCTCAATCATGTCCAGTCTATAAATAAGACATTCCTTATTTATGCAATAGTATTAAAAACCTCTAGTATTTCTTTATTTTCTTGCCCAACCCTTAGTATTTCTGTCTTTCTGCTGACATTTTCCATCTTTTTTTCTATTAGTGAAACACCATGAAGTACATTTATAGACTTACAAATTTTTGTGCTTGGGTTTCAGTTATACAATGATCAAGTACCCATCTCTCCACCAGTGCCCATCCTCCCCCACCACGGGTCCTAGCATCCCTCCCACCCCACCCCACCCCCACCCCCCCGCCCCACCCTGCCGCTGTGGCAGGGCATTCCCCCTTGTTCTCTCTCTCTTCTTTTGGGTACTGTGTTTTGCCAGAGAGGCATTGAGTGGCAATCATGTTTGATCTATAGACTACTTTTAGCATGTCTCTCCCACCCTGGGAGGGTCTTCACAACACCCTTTATTTGGTGCTCTCTTCTCTATCTGAGCTTCCTTTTCACCTAGCACGTGTGGCTGGCCTTCAAGTCATGGAGCAAAATTCCTGGTACTAATCTGAGCCATTCCTGGGTGTTAGTCTCCCGTTTTGCTGCTTTATGTTCCCCAGATGAATGCAATCTTTCTGTGTCTATCCCGTTTCTCTTCATCAAGGGATACATACAGCAGGAAGAAATCACACTCTTAAATGTATACGCACCTAATGAGGGAACAGCTAAATATCTAAAACAACTGCTAACAGATTTTAAGGAGGACATCGCTACCAACACAATAGTACTTGGAGACTTCAACATCACCTTATCAACTCTGGATAGATCAACAAGAACAAAACCCAGCAAGGAATTATTGGCTTTGAAAGAAGAAATAGAAGAGAAAGGGCTTATAGACCTATACAGGGCTTTATACCCCCAAAAGAAAGAATACACATTCTTCTCCAGTGCACACGGAACATTTTCCAAAATAGACCATGTCCTAGGACACAAAACATACCTCAACAGAATCAGGAAGATAGAAATAGTATCAGCCATCTTTTCAGACCATGATGCACTGAGGATAGAAGTGAATCACACACTGACACGGAGAACAAAATCAAACACCTGGAAATTAAACAACTCGATGCTGAACAATGAGTGGGTCAAGAACGAAGTCAAGGACGAAATCAAAAGATACCTGGAAACAAATGAGAATGAAGACACAAACTACCAGAACTTATGGGATGCAGCAAAAGCTGTATTAAGGGGAAAATTTATAGCTCTGCAAGCATATCTTAGGACTGTAGAAACGATGCACATAAACAACTTGACCTCACAGCTCAAGACCTTAGAAAAGGATCAACAGAAAGAGCCTAAATCAGGCAAAAGGAAAGAGATCATAAAACTTAGAGCAGAAATCAAAGACATGGAAAACAAAGAAACAATCCAAAAGATCAATAAAACCAAGAGCTGGTTCTTCGAGAAAATAAATAAGATAGATAAACCACTAGCAACACTCACAAAGAAACAGAGAGAGAGAGCCTTAATAAATCGAATCAGAAATAAGAATGGGGATATCACAACAGAAACTAAAGAAATTCAAGAGATCATCAGAGACTACTTTGAAAGTCTATATGCCACGAAACAAGAGAACCTAGAAGAAATGGATAAATTCCTGGATTCCTATCATCTCCCAAAGCTGAAGCAAGAAGATACAGAGTACCTGAATAGACCTATTCACATCAAGGAAATTGAAACTGTAATCAAAAGTCTTCCCAAAAACAAAAGCCCAGGTCCAGATGGATTTACTAGCGAATTTTTCCAAACATTTAAAGAGGACCTATTGCCAGTTCTTCTCAAGCTTTTCCAGGAAATTGAAAAAACGGAAACTCTCCCAAACAGTTTCTATGAAGCCCATATCTCTCTAATACCAAAAGGAAACAAAAACACCACAAGAAAAGAAAACTACAGGCCGATATCCCTGATGAACACAGATGCGAAGATTCTCAACAAAATACTAGCCAATAGAATTCAACAACTCATCAAAAAGATCATACATCATGACCAAGTAGGATTCATCCCAGGGATGCAAGGATGGTTCAACATTTGGAAATCAATCAACATAATCCATAATATCAACAAAAGAAAAGATAAAAATCATATGATCATATCAATAGATGCAGAGAAAGCATTTGACAAGATCCAGAACCCATTCATGATGAAAACCCTTGCCAAAATGGGGATAGAGGGGACTTTCCTCAATATAGTTAAAGCCATCTACCACAAACCTACAGCAAACATCATCCTTAATGGGGAAAAACTGAGAGCCTTCCCCCTAAGGTCAGGGACGAGAAAAGGATGCCCACTCTCTCCACTGCTGTTCAATATAGTACTGGAAGTACTTGCAATAGCGATTAGGCAAGAAAAAGATATTAAGGGCGTCCAGATAGGGAAAGAAGAAATTAAGCTCTCACTATTCGCAGATGACATGATACTATACTTAGAGAACCCTAAAACCTCTACCAAGAAACTCCTAGAAACAATAGGCTTGTATAGTAAAGTGGCAGGCTATAAAATCAATACCCCCAAATCCATGGCTTTCCTATATGCAAATAGTGAAAGAGAAGAAAGTGACATGAAGAAAACAATTCCATTCACAATTGTGCCCCAGACAATCAAGTACCTAGGAATCGCCTTAACTAAGGAAGTAAAGGATCTGTACAAAGAAAATTACAAAACACTACTTCGGGAAATAAAAGAGGACACGAGGAAATGGAAAAATATCCCCTGTTCATAGATGGGGAGAATCAACATTGTCAAAATGGCAATACTTCCCAAGGCACTGTACAAATTCAATGCAATCCCTATAAGGATACCCACAACATTCTTCAAGGAAATGGAGCAAACACTCCTGAAATTTATATGGAACAATAAGCCCCCACGAATAGCTAAAGCAATTCTTGGGAAAAAGAAAATGGGAGGAATCAACCTACCTAACTTCAAGCTCTACTACAAAGCAGTAATAATCCATCTTTTTTTTTAAATAGAATAGTTTTATTGAGAAATGGTACCAATTCTAAGGAGACTGAAATTCTCCAGAGAGAGAAACAGAGGGAGAAGAAAGGGCAATTAAGGCCTTTAAACAATTAATTTAAGGAGCATTTATGCCCTAAAGAGGGACATAGATAATTGCAGGATGGACTATTATAAGGTAAAGGAGAGATAATACATCCAAAGTTGGGCATGTGGGTGACCCAGCATGGAGTACCCCACAGCATAAAGGGGTAAACTGCACACCTGTAACAGACAGGTATGGTCAACCCCAAGATGGCATGGACCATAAAATAAGGAAGAGAAGTTCTAAATCCTGAGCTGCGGAACAGAAAAGTTTCTAATGGAATGTTCAGATAGTGCCCTGGGATATATGCCTTTTCCAAGGAACCTTGGTTTGAGGTTCTTTGTGAAGGTCAGAGTTCATTGCTGGGCTAGGAGAAAGAATTTTGAGATTCAGTGATCATCACGTTTAGTGTTATCAGTTGAATTGTTGAATTGTTTTCTGAAGGGCAGATTGGACACTGAGATTTGGCTAAATCCTGAGTCATTCTAGTTGAAGCTCTAGTCTGGTCTTAAATCTAGGCTGTTTTCTGGGTGTGTTAAGTCTTGATACTAGGGCTGGGGCAAGGGAAGATAACTTTTTTTCAAATTGTGCTTTGAATTTATGGTTTTCTGAAATTCAGAGCAAAGGAATGTCCTTGATGCCTCGTTCAATTTTATATGCAGAAACTGCATCTTATCTATTCATCTGTTGACAGTATTCTTCTATTTTACTTATTGAAAAACAATTAAAATCAATATAAGATTTAATGACTTAAAGGTTAGTTCAGAATTCCTGATTTGGGGAATCCAGAGAGATAGGAGAGTAGGTAAAGCATTTGCCTTGCACATGGCTGTCCCCAGTTTGTTTCTGACTCTGTATGTGGCCTTTTGAACACCACCAGTAGTCATACCATCAGGAGTTAGCTAGGAATAAACACTGAGCAGTGCTGGATGTGCCTCTCCTCACCTCCCTCCCCCCACCAAAAAGCAAAATAGGAGACAGAGTGATAGTTACAGAGAGTAAGGTGTTTGTATTGCATTCCATCCCACCTGTGTTCAATTCCCTGTACCCTACATGGTCCCCCTGAGTACCGCCTGGACTGATCCCTGAGCACAGAACAAGCAGTAAGCCCTGAACACCACCCAGTGTGACTCCCCCCACCAATAATATAAAATAAAGCTAAACAATGCAAAAAAGAAATACAAAATTCCTGGTTTTGAAGATGATCCTTAAAATAGTCTGAGCATGATGGCAAGAGTGAACAGAATATAGTTATTGTAGACAATGTTTAAATAAAAAATAAAATAAAATATGCAATAAGTGATCATTTCCCAAAGTTGAAACCTTGGTGAATACTAATACATGATAGATAATTCTCTAAGAGAGTTGTAGGCATAGGGAATGTTAATTAGGGAAGTAGGACACTTACAAATAAGGAACAAATGGGCCTTTACTCCAAAGGAAGAGACCCAGAGTAGAGACCCTTCTTGATTTTGCTTTCTGTCTACTTTATTCATGAGAGCCCTTAGCATATGAACCATATATATTTGAAATTCCTGGTCTGATAATGCCAGTATCCCTGACATGCCAATTTTTGAGGCTTGTTCTGTCTCTCAAAATGTGTTTGATTTATGAATTCAGTAACTATAAATAGAAATAGTCATTGAATAAATTTTTTTATCTTGTATGATATTGAAAAATTAAAATCAGCCACAGAATAATAATAGCTAATTTTAGTTAAGGTTACTGTGTGTCAGCTTTGTTCTAACCTTTCAACATGCATACTCTCAGTGAATGATCTGAACAACTTTAAGAGATAGGTATCATCATGCTTACCATTTTCAGAGAATACTAAAATACAGAGAAGTTATGTGGCTTGTCCAATAAATAGTGAAGTTTAGATTCAAACTCTGACTAACTAACTTCAGGACTAAACTTTTAACCACCATGTCCCTGTCCCCTGTTCTCCCATTGTTTATTGATTTGCTCCAGCAGGCCCAGTAACGTCTCCATTGTGAGACTTGTTGTGCTTGGCATATTGAATACATCACGAGTATCTTGCCAGTATTTGCCGAGCGGGCAAGATACTCTTGGTAGCTTGCCAGGCTCTCTGAGATGAGCAGAGTAATCAAACCTGGGTCGGCCAGATCGGCCAGGGCCATGTACAAGGCAAATATCCTACCCGCTGTACTATCGCTCCAGCCCAAAGTAATCTATTCCCCAAACAGCTGATATCAGTCCAGTTCATTTTGTGTTTTAGACCTACTTTGTTCTTTGGTTGCGTGTCCAAAGATAATTTTTTTGATGATTTCCACTTCATGGCATGAGCTTCCCTTGTAGAGTTGCTGGTGACATTTTTATTCATTGTTCCCCTTCTTAACTTGACACCTAGAAACACATAGAAGGCTACATCTGTAGATCAATTGAAAATAAAATGAACCAACCCATAGTGTTAGATCCTTTCCTTCTAGAGGACTTTGCTCTTATCACCAAAGAGTTTGAGATATAAGAACTCCCTGAGTTCAAGATTGGAGGGAATCAAGTCATAAATCAAGTCATGGTACTTTTTTGAATTCTATCAGAAATAGCTGATTATGATAAAATCTTTGTCCTTATTTGCAAATTTCTGTCCTGGTTTTATTTAAATTCCTCTAAATGGACGGAAATACATAAGCTTACTCTGTTTACGGGCATATTCTGCTGCCTTGGGTGCTGTTAACATTGCAAAAGGATGCAAAGAGAGGCGGAAAGGTGGAGTTCGGGAAACCTGAAAGGAAAACAATCCTAATTTTAAAAACTGCACACCCTTTGGGCTATTACATTTATGAATTGTAGAACTTGGTCTGTTGAACCAACCATCACCCTTATATATTACTAACAGTCTACCAATAACTCATGTTACACAACCTGAACTTTCAGAAAGTTACATATCCTCAACTTTCACACCCTGCTCTTGTTCCCATGCTGGGCTCCTCTTCCTCTCTGGAGTAAGACTCACTTTTACTCCTTTGAGTTGTAGATCATCATTTTTTTTCTGAGAAAATTTGTTCATTTGTCTTTCCACTTCTATTTTGCATGCTGGCACTCCCAAATCTCTCTCTCTCTCTCTCTCTCTCTCTCTCTCTCTCTCTCTTTCTTCCTCCTTTTCTCTCTCTCTCTCTCTCCCCCCTCTCTTTCCCCTGTCTCCTCTCCTTACCACACATAAACTGTGAACTTTTTGATCTGGAACTGTAGGCATGTTGTCATGTAGAGCTATGTATTATGGTCAGTTATATCAGCTGTCTGCTTCATTATAGTGGAAAGTTCTTCAAGGCCAAGACTTCAAGGCCCTTCATTCAACCTTCCACTCTAGTTTTAGGTGCTGGGGTTAGAAAGGCAGACAAGATTCCTGCCTTTCTGGGGATAAGAAGAGACAGATAATAAGCTATTACATGACAAGGACAACTATATACTTTAATGAGTTCTATGGAAAAGCAAAACAAGATGATCCCTAGGGAATTACTGGGCAACAACCACTTCAAATAGAATGCACAGAGAAAGCCTCCAGAAGGAAGTACAGTTTCAGTGGAGATTTGTAGCTATCAGAAGAGCTAGAGAGAGTTGTTCCGGATAGATAGAAGGAAGGCTAGAAAAGCAGAAGTTCTAAAGGTTAGTCTTCCCTTCCAGTTTTTTTCATCTCTCTGCAGCACCAAACTTTTGTGGATTCTTTTTCCATCTCCACACCACTGGCCCCCAATTTCTCTGTCAGGCTTGTTTTATAAGTTGCAGAAAGAGTGTCATGCTGAGTGAAGTGAGTCAGAAGGACAGCGAAGAACCCAGAATCATCTCTCTCTTATGAGGGATACAACAAAAACATCGTAGAGGAATAACAACTACTCAAAAGCAACAGAAACTGAGAATTAGCCTTCTGTAGGCTGCAGACCACAGGGAAAGCAAGAAAAGGGGTGGGGGGGGAGGATGAAGAGGAGGACACTGATACAACAGTGGAGAGAGGTGTTCACTTTGGGGGTGTTGAGATGGAACGTGTCAAGCATGAAACTCTATCAGTAACAGTATTGTAAACCACAGCACCTTAAAAACACAGTCATAGAGACTGGGGTGGGGGGTATGGAGGGAAACAGGGGACACTGGTAAAGGAAACTTGATGCAGGTGATGGAATTGGTGTTGAAACATTGTGTGCCTGAAACTCAGTCACATATACCTCTGTAATTCATGATGTCTTTTTAAAACAATTAAAATGATAATAAAAGTTTTTAAAAGGAATGTATTAGGCAGAGTTTATAGCAGAATAGATATATGCAAAGATTAGTGAACTAGAATAAATGAAACTATAAATGAAATCACCAATTAAAAAAATAAAAACTGAGGAGGACATTTAATATTTATCTGAATCTAGCTATGAAAGAAACGCTCACTTGTGCAAGGTTGAGTTCTTTCTCTGGGTTTGTGAGTGTCAGCAGAAAACTCTGTCAGCAAAAGCTTTCCCTCTCCGGATAGAACTGGGGTTAACCGAGCTCCGTGAGCAATCCTTGGGCTTGGTACCTCTTTGTCACCAGGTGGCAGCAAATAGCCCGGAAGAAAGCCCAATGCACACTCCCTGTGTTATAGCAGATGGCGATTGCAGTGGCCTGAAAGTCTGCATTATCTGATTAGTATTCAACAGGCTTTAAACTGCTGCTAGGGAAGGATTTTAGCTGTTGCTAAGGAAATATTTTTTTCCTGAGGAATCAAAGGTCATTCAGATTTACACAGCCATTTAGAAAAAAACCATTGGGTGTGAGTTCACAAAGTAATCCACGGGAGCTGCTGCTGCGAGGTGCCTGTCTGTGTGTTCGGTGGCCCTGAGCCGCCTGCCTGCCTCCCCCCTTCCCCAGGACTCCCCCAGCAGAGACACTGAGAAACAGGGAGACGAGGAGGCTGGGGACCACATTCTGATAGTGAAAATGGCTCGTTTAATGCAGAGTTGCTAATAGACTTATGGAACATCTGAAGGGGGGGTTAAGGTAAGGACAGATGTGATTGGTCATTTACATAGATAAACATTTGGCAGAGGAAATTCTCTTGGGGAGATCAACTCAGGAAGACACTGTCTCCCAGGGACATCTACATTGCTTTTATCTTCCCTTCTAGTGTATTAATTATCAATACTTGCAGTTGTTTGGAAAAACACAGTAAGAGACAAAGATCCCAACACTTAGTTCTCTGGGCTGAGAGCAAGCAAGGCTCTTACCATAAATCCCAGAGTAAGTCCTCAGGCCAGTCCAGCTCGTCCTTCCCCATGGGGGTCCTGTCTCTTAGGATGTAACAGTTTTCATCAAGACCATCCATGTATGCTTTCTAGAATGTCCCATTTCGATGCCAGGTAGCTTTGCCACTCGCCCTGGGTCCATTCCTGTCCCATGGCAGGACCTCCCTTTTGGGGTGTTAGGAACTACAGAAACTGAAGCCTGAGTCAAGTAATTAAGTAAAAGTAAAAGAAAAGGCCCTCCGGTTGATCATCGATTTGCTCGAGCGGGCCCAGTAACGTCTCCATTGGAGACTTTGTTGTTACTGTGTCTGGCATATCGAATACGTCACAGGGAGCTTGCCAGGCTCTGCCGTGCAAGCGAGATACTCTCGGTAGCTTGCCGGGCTCTCCGAGAGGGGCGGAGGAATCGAACTCGGGTCGAGTAATTATGGCCAAATAATTATGCCCAGCAGCAGATACATTTCAGAGTCAGTCAACTCCCAAATATTAGGAGCATGACATTAATGGCCTTTCTGTGTTTAAACAAAGAACATTGCTCTAAAGTAAAATATAAAAAGGCTATAGGGGAGATAGAAAAACAGGTACAAATATACAGCACTTCAAATAAAAAGCAGTACAAATGCAATTTCAGAATTACGAGAAAGTTTTGGCTTACAAGTATCAAGACTGACTTGGGAAACTGTGACAATGAGAGGTAAAATACTATGGAAAGGTTAAAGATAAACTTTAAGTTAGGGATGCTAACAAGCTCAAACTTCTCTGGCAGGAAGAAAGGGGGCACTTAGGGTTAATATCCAACACAAAGGAAAGGTTGAAAATAGACTTTAACCAAATTAGGGATGTTAGCAAGAGCATGTTAAATTTCTCTAGGAGGAAGAAAGAGGCAAGTCACTGGTGAAGCCTAAAACACAGGGTTGATATCCAACAACCGGGAATAACCGTTCCTTTATTTTTATTTTTATTTTTATAACACCCCCATCTTCTAGTTATATCTGTTCTTTTGAAATGATGTCTACCCCAAAGGATAGTTTTATTATTTATTTATTTATTTGCTTTTTGGGTCACACCCAGCGATGCACAGGGGTTACTCCTGGCTCTGCACTCAGGAATTACTCCTGGTGGTTTTCAGGGGACCATATGGGATGCTGGGGATCGAACCTGGGTTGGCCATGTGCAAGGCAAACGCCCTGCCCGCTGTACTATCGCTCCAACCCCAAAGGATAGTTTTAAACTCAGGTGTTCAATATAGTTTTTGAACTTCCACAATTCTGTTGAGAAGTGCTGCTACTTTTTTCTGCTGGCAGAAAAAGAAGGTCTCTCTGAGCAGAGCTGAAGTGTATCCACAAAAGAAGGGCTGGAGCTAGGGGGAGGAGTTTGTGAGGCCCACAGAAGTAAATGGTCCCCACATTCTTAGAGTTGTAGCTCAGTCATGTCATGTCCCTTAGTCATAACTGGTTGTCCTAATCTTAAAACTGTCCTAATCCCAAGTCCTTAATCTGTAGGTCACAATCGCATGTGGGTTATGTGATTGAGTATGGTGGTGGTGGAGGGGAAGGGGAACTTGCAAATTGTTTCAAAGGTTTTTTTTATTTTAAAAAATATTTTTAAAATATTTTAATGAAAACATTATGAAGACATAATAAAATTACTTTATTATTTATCCTCAGTCAAAGTTTATAGACCTGTTTTATATAACTCTATACCTAAGATCAAGTAAAAATTTCTAAGATGAAACAAAAAAGACTCATGAATGGAAAAAGTTCAAGAAGCCCTAGTCTAAAATGTGAAAAATTTGGGGGTTTGGTGCCGCCAGCAGGTCAATCTGTACCTGTGAGGCGAGTGCATCAGCAGCCTGATGGAGCCTTCAGAATTCCAAATACCTTAAAATTGCTGCTTTCGCCTTTGGCCAAAATCCTTTGTCTAGACCCCAAAACTTGGGGCAAAGTTTACCAAGAAAGTAAACGGCCAAAAGTTAGGTATGTGCGAGATACACCCACAAACCACCTCGGGCTCAGCATGGCCTCTCTGGTTTGTGATTGAACTGCTTAATGGCCATGATTCCAGAGACTCAGAAACAAATCTCTAAACCCAACGGCTTTTGGCAGAAATGCATCCAGTCCCTGCAGTAGATTACCGGCTCTGGGCCAACCCAGGTGGGAATAAGTTTCTTGCCTTGACCTGTTCCCCTTGGTGGCCCAGTGGCTGCCATCCTCCAAAGGCCACTGGACAGTCAGGTTTGGGTCCACAGTGACGAGACACACAGGGCTTCACTGGATGGGGGTGGAACTGGCCCTTTTCTCGCCACCCCAACGAGACCCCAAGTCACCGTCCACGAACAGCCTCTCTGGCTCTTGATCAAGCTGCTTAATGGCCATGATCCCAGAGACTCAGAAACAAATCTCGAAACCCAGGGGTTTTTGGCAAAAATGCGTCCGAACCACACAGTAGGTTACCATCGCCAGGCCACCCCAGGGGGGAAAGGGTTCTGTCCCTCCTCCTGCTCCCCCTTGGCAGGTGGGTGACCGCCTTCCTCCAGAGGTCATTGGATAGTCAGGTTTGGGCCCGCAGTGACGAGATACATGGGGCCTCACTGGAAGGGGGTGGAGCTAGCCCTTTCCTCCCCATCCCAACGAGACCCCGAGTCACCGCCCACAAACGGCTTCTCTGGCTCCTGATCAAGCTGCTTAATGGCCATGATCCCAGAGACTCAGAAACAAATCTCAAAACCTAGTGGCTTTTGGCAGAAATGCGTCTGGTCCCTGCAGTAGGTTACTTTAACCCAGTCTTCGGGCCCTTTTTTCTTTTAATTGAGATTGAGAGAAATTGAAAGAGTTGCCTGGGATTATTGTTTGTTGTTGATGGAACTGGGGTCCACACTCAGATTGTCTGGCTTTAGAATCCTTATGCTCAACTGTTACACAAACTACTTTGCATATTAAAACCAACCAATGAGCCAACATTCCTACCCTATAACAATAAAACATATGTAGGTCTATAAAGGAAAGTTCCTCCTATGAGAATCTTACTTATTTCTCTTTTGAGCTGGTCATTATATGTATGGTCTAATAATCTATCTGGGATTTGGATCATTAGTCACTGGTAAGGACGGGATCTTTAGGTAACTGAACAGAGAAAGTGCTGAATGAAAGCTCTTGAATCCAAAGAACTTCCCTCTTCAGCTTCACAGAAGTGAGTCAGAACTCAAAGTCTTGTCTCTGGGCTCAGTCAAATAGATGATTTATCATGAGTGAGAGCATTGCAGATCTTGCCCTAGTTCTTAATGCTATACATCATCAGTGAAGGGCTGTCTCAGAGACAGGACCTAAACCCTAAATTTGGGCTCTATTCACTCTACATGATATACATCTTATACAAGATATATTTGTTGTATAAAATAGACCTCTAGTTAAGGTGAACAGTTGACACTTACCTATGGTTGAAGTTAAATATGGCTACATTTGGCTTTGTGCCTTTGATATAAAAGAAATTTCATGGGGCTGGAGAGATAGTAGAGAAGATAAGGTTCTTGCCTACAAGTGACTGATCTCAGTTTGATGCTCAGTACCATATATGTTCCCTTGAGTATGTTCATGGATCACTCCTGGGCACAGAACCAGGAACAACCCTTGAACAGTTCCAGATGTGACTCAAACTTCCCATGAGCACCAAAATCAAACAAACAAACAAAAAACCACATCATTTTATGCCTGAGAGTAAACTATAAAGTTTTTAATTAAATTATCCACTAAAAAAACCCCTGTATTAATAGTCTCAGCAACTCTTACCTTAGTTGCACCAGAACTGGTAGAAGAATCAGCTCCATAAATTTTAAAAACTTCTTCAATTGGGATGCTGTTCTGTTATCAACAACAACAAAAAGTATATTATTATTGGGGCTGGAGAGATGGTACAGTCACTAGGGTGCTTGTCTTGCATGTGACTGACTTAGATTAGATTAATGGCATCCCATATGGTCCCCTAAGCTCCATCAGGAGTAATTCCTGAATTCAGAGGCAGAAATAACTGCTGAACACCACCAAGTGTAGCCAAAATTCAAAAATTTATTTTTATATTGTGCTTTTATTTTTTAGTTACAAAAGGAAGCACATAGCTTCAATGTGTCTAGTATAATGCCTGTATAATGTGGACACTAAATAAATAGCTTTTGATAAATAGATAAAATCAGAGTACTCAGACTCCAAGTATTTAAATTTCATTTTATTACCCCTTAAATACAATACAATGAAGAATTCTTTTTATTGTATCTTTAAAAAGAAGCAATTTCTTAAAGCCCCTGCCATAGAGGAAGGCTGGGGCGAGGGGGTGTTGGTAATAGAAGGGAACCTGCAGACACTGGTGCTGGGAAATATACGCTGGTGGAGAGATGGATGTTGTGATACTCTATGACTGAAATCCAATCATGAACAGCTTTGAAAGGGTCTATCTCACAGTAATTCAATAAAAAAGAAGCAAACTATGTTAGTAAATCCTAAACATTTATTGAAAAAAGAAATACCTATTGATACAAAAGTGTGCGTAGTATATACCAAATTTCTGTAAAGTTTCCTTTTTTCTTACCATTAAGATTCCAGCATAAGATGATAAAATCATTGCTTCTCGTTCTCTGTGGTTCGGGTATATAGGTTTGCCACAAAGTAGCATTCTCCTAAGAGCGGAATATGAATAAATAAGAATAAAGATGCATTTTAATTTTGTTGACACCTCCTATGGATGCAGTATTAATCTATCCACAATCTCTAATGGCTGGAGATTGAAATTTGTAAATATGTGTGCGAGCCATGTCTTTAAAAACTTGATATGATTTATCTACTCTCAATAAAGTTCACACTTCAGATTTTAAAACTTCCAACAGTGATGACTCTTATTTATCCATGTTTTTGCAACTAGCAAACATCAAGAGCAGAGAGAGAGAGACAGTAAAAAGGAAATGTGCCTGCCACAGAGATGGGGTTGAGGGGTTGGGTGTGGGGATGGGGGGGTTACAGGAGGGATACTGGGAACATTGGTGATGGAGAATGGACACTGGTGGAAGGATGGGTACCTGATCATTGTATGACTGAAGCATAATCACGAGTTTGTAACTCTGTAACTGTTTCTCATGCGGATTCATTTAAAAAATTAAAAACTAAAAAAAAATAAATTAAAAGACAAAAAAACAAACAAAAAAATCATTAAATTAGGAACCTTGGTGGATAATTACAGTCTTGCCAACTAGTATTCTTTCCCTTCTTGTTAGAATTTGGTTGTTTTAGGGGAAGCATAGGGACTGCCTTACCCCACTATAAACCTGCTTCTACGTTTACATTCCTAGGTTCCAAGAAGGTACAATGTGGACTAAGTTATCATATTTTGCTGCACCCTCTAGAAAGTCAGGGCAAATAGTCCTCAAGACCGTTTAGCGATTCTGTGATTTGGGGTGGAGCCTGGGAAGTGTTGGGCCACACTCAGTGATTCTGACGGGCTTACTCTGCATTCAGGGTCACTCCTGACAGTGGAACCTATGCAGGGCCAAGGACTGAACCAGGCTTGGCTGCATGCAAGGCAAGCACTTTAACCACAGTACTATTTAGCTCTTCCTTTCAATTTTGTGATTTTTTTTCTTTTTTTTCTTTTTGGGTCATACCCAGCAATGCACAGGGGTTACTCCTGGCTCTGCGCTCAGGAATTACCCCTGGCTGTGCTCAGGGGACCGTATAGGATGCTGGGAATCGAACCTGGGTCGGCCGCATGCAAGGCAAACGCCCTACCCGCTGTGCTATTGCTCCAGCCCCTCAATTTTGTGATATTTTAAAGGACTAAACATTGTGATAAAGCTGAAACTAAGACAGTGCCTATGCAGAGACAATAGAATCAAGAATATAGATCTTGATGATAGAGTTTGAGGGGTTTTTTTGTTGTTGTTATTTTGTTTTATTTTGTTTGGTTTGGTTTGGTTTTGCTCCTTGGGTCACACCGACAATGCACAGAGGCTACTCCTGGCCTTGCACTCAGGAATTATTCCTGGCAGTGCTCAGGGGACCATATGGGATGCTGGTAATCAAACATGGGTTGGTTGCATGCAAGGCAAAGGCCCTCCCTACCCACGGTGCTATCACTACAGCCCCAGAGTTCAAGTTGTAACTTGATCATTGTATAACTAAAACCCAAGCACAAAAATTTGTAAGTCTACTACTGTACCTCATGGTGTTTCACCAATAAAAGTTAAAAATAAATAAATAAATAAATAAATAAATAAAACCATGCTAACATGGTCCAACCAAGGGGATTTTCAAATATGAAGACAATAGAAATCCTCCACCCTTTTTGCCTTGGCTTGAGTCTGCTCAGTCTAGATTTTCAACTTATTACAACTAAATCTCAACTTATTCAACTCCCCAGGACCAAGTTGTGTTCTAAGGTCATGGAACAGAAGAAATAACTGATTTCCAGAATAAAATATTCAACTCTTGTCACATCAGTTTTTAATCTTCATACTGTTTGAGTAAGTCTGACTCACACATATTGCAAAAAAAATGACAATAGTCCTGAAAAGGATTATAATAACTTTGACTTAGACAGCTCCATTTAGGTGTATAAATAAATGCTTATTAAATTGTGTCCAGGAAGAGTATAGGTCTTCCTCATAAAATTAACCTTTGAAATAACATAACATTTGCAATAGCACACCATCTTATTTCCAAAGCAAACCATTCTATTCAAGAAGGATCTTCATTTGACAGAAACCCAATTGCAGAGAAGCAAAGTATGTAAACAGTAATATAACTTTCTTGGATAGAAAACTTTGGTTTTTTTTTTCCTTTCAGGCTTTCAGTTTTTTTTTTTCTTATTGGGTCACACCTGGCGATGCACAGGGGTTACTCCTGGCTCTGCACTCAGGAGTTACTCCTGGCAGTACTCGGGGGACCATATGGGATGCTGGGAATTGAACCCGGGTCGGCCACGTGCAAGGCAAACGCCCTACCCACTGTGCTATCTCTCCAGCCTCCTCAGGTTTTCAGTTAGAGGGAGATATTCACCCTGTCACAGTTTCATATCAAAGTGCCATTGCAGGGGAGATACCAGATGAAATTTCTTCCATCATTGCCATTCTGATAGTCAGATATTACAAAAAAAATAGCAACTATTTCTACTTACACTTTCTCCCACTCCAGCCAAGTTAAGTCTTCAGAGCTATCCAGCCATTGCAAAGCAACACTCAGGGCCAAGTCGTAGTGTGCCTGGAAGCAGGTAGAGCAAAGGAACCTGTTTAGACCATTGTTCTAGATGGGACCCAACAGCAATAGCATTCCTAAACCTACTCTAGTATTTTGTCCTGTCCACATTGGTGAGTATGTCTACTAACCTGATGATCAGGCAGGGGATTTAGGGACTCCAGGCTTTACACTTTTACCTTCTACTATAGAGCAGGTTTTAAAAAAAATGTGTAGGGGCTGGAGTGATAGCACAGCGAGTAGGGCATTTGCCTTGCACGTGGCCGACCCGGGTTTGATTCCCAGCATCCCATATGGTCCCCTGAGCACTGCCAGGGGTAATTCCTGAGTGCAGAGCCAGGAGTAACCCTTGTGCTTTGCTGGGTTTGACCCAAAAAGAAAAAAAAATGTGTGGATGAGAAAAGAAAAAATAGATTCTTCAAAATAATTCTAAACTAAGAATCAGAAATCTGTGATCATTCATCAAATAGTGTGAACTATTTTATAAAATTTTTAAAAATTAATAAAAAAATAATTTAAAAAAATCTGTGACCAAATCTCGGAATCCTTAACAACTAGCAGCATATTCTCAGGTGACTGGTCTCAGCTTCCCTAAATTTCAAAACAGAATGAGGGAAATGGAAAGCAGATAACACTTTCAGGAGTGTGGGTAGAACTTCAGTGTTCTTCCAGGGGTCCAGGGAAAAGGAATGTCTGCAAGGAGAGTTGCAGAGAGTCCCTGGAGCCTCAGAGAGGAGGCCTTGTCAGAGCTGGAACTTGAAGGAGAGGAAATGTCTGTGGGTAAAGATGGCTTTCCACAGTAAGGTAGTGGGGTCAGGTTCAGCATGGAACTAGGATAGACATGGGGCTAAGTGACATGCCAAGGGTCTCATCTACCACCAAAAGCTGAGGACCAATTTGAATATTTATTCCTCTTCTACTGACCTTTCCCATTCATTTCTAAGTATATTCATTATTTCTCTATCAAAATTTTCCTTCTTTCCTCCCTACCCCTAACCCCAAAAAAGAAAAGCGTGATTTTATATTTCTGGTTTAACTGTAAGTTTGTAATGCTAATATTTTCTAAACAATATAATCATTTCTTCTGGGAACTGAATCAAACTGAAGAGTGATCCAAAAAGGGAGGGGAATAGGGGGAAAATAAAGGAGAGAGGAGATGGAGAGGATCCATCCATGATCAATTATTGAAATTTACTTCAAAATTTGATGCATGGGTTTACAATACTAGCATCATCAGTCATGATCAGTTTGCTCATTAGAAATGCACATTTCCAGGCCTACCCCAGGTCACATAAATCAAAACAGTCTAGTAATAAGACCTGGTCAAAATGTGAGAAGCACTTATCTAATCAAGTTAATACTTGCACAGAGAAGTACTTTAGAATACCAGGGTTTAACTGATTATTTGGCTCCAGGGAAATCAGATGGGAATGAAGAGGTTGAGCTGAGGGAGGTAGAAAGGATTTCTTCCTTATTAGTGCAAGAATAGTAAATGGGTAAACATAAGAAAGTGGAAAGGTTACTCATGTCTCTTCAACTATACATTTCACGTTCAGATTTTAATTGATGTGAACTTTCATTATATAACACAAACCTGAGTTTCAACAAGAATAACAACACAAAGGATTTTAGGATTGTTCAATTCATTAATGTTTTTTCCTTCATCAATGCTAAAGGCAGAAAGTATTGCATTTGAAAGTCACATGATAACTAATTAAAAATGTTTATATAACTGTATGTAACATTTAATCTTGCACTGATTTTTATTTTTTAATCTTACTAGCAAATAGCCTAAGTCTTGTAAATTTCATTTCTCATTCTTTTTGCTTTGATTTAATGAATTGAATAGATCACATGTATAATCTTAGAATGGAAAATGAGTAAAAGGACATTCTGAGAGGGAAACAATGATTAATCTTGTCTATTATATACTAGGTCCTTTTTCTGCCCCCTTAATACAAATGATACAAATGTCACCCGCATCAGCATGCCTTTCTTTACCATATCATCTAGAAAGGTGAGTTGCCTTCTTCCTTTTGGGTCAAATTCATTTTCCCGAAGTCTGATGCCAATATAATCTCCCCTTAAAAGCAAGAGAGCAACATTGAACCACTGGGAATGTCATGGGAATTTAATCTGCAAAAAACCGTTCATCCCTGATCCCTCCCTCCTTCACCAAAACCCAGAAAAGTCAGGTTGCTGAGTTATTGTTTCATTTGGATTTAAATGGAATTCTGCAAGCTGACGGCTTAAAATATGTAACTATTATTAAGTTAAAATATGTGACTATTATTAAATCACACACAGCTAAAAATTTAACACATGTGTTTGAAGCAGATTTTTTTTTACAGGAAATTCTGGAAGATTCCCACGTTCAGGAAAAGTTTTACAGAATGCAGAAGATTAAGGCCCACTATTGAAAGATTCCTTTGTGGCCCAAATTAAATTCAAACAAGGTTATCCAAAACTGGCAAGTTATAGCAATAAATCTGTACAGATGTATTATTTTGCTCTAAGGCTTTTGACTTCATTTCAATGAATTTGAATCCATATGAATGCAAATATCCTTAGAAATCAAGCACAAAAGTATATTACAAATTCTACTTTTATACCTTATTAGGCCCTTTTCTAAAGAGACTTTAAATAAGGACAGAACAAAAGAGAGCTCTGGCAGGAGAAAGCCAATAGATGCTCACTTAGGAAAGTCAGAACGAAGTGACAAAAAATTCTGAGGGCCCGAATGATAGGGTAGTGGGTAGGGCGCTTGTCTTCACACTGCCAACCCAGGTTCAGTCCCTGGCACAAACCTGAGCCCCAAGAGAAATGAACTCTGAGCACAGAGCCAGGAGTAAGACCTGAGCACTGCTGAATGTGACCAAAAAGTAAAAAAGAAAAAAATAAGAAAAGGAAAAGAACTCTGGAGTCTCCCAGTTGGATGTGTTTTGTGTGCAAGTACATATTTATGAAAGGCCAGTTGTGGTTGCCAAGGTCGTGTACTAGGCAAGTTACTGTGGGTGATGAGTTTATTTTTGGCTTCTAGCAGCTCTTCTGAGTCATTACGTTTTTCTAGATGGGTGTTAAAAAAAATTCTTGTAATTTTACTCTGTAGTTCCAAAATATTTCATTCAAAGTAGTCTGAATTCCAGTATGACAATAATAGCTGTAATGATCATGCTGGACAAGTTCTGAATTTTAAAGTTAGGTAAAGAGATATTTTGATCATCTTTAAGTATCAATATTGAAAACCACAATGTCCAAAAGGGGGGGGAGAGAGAGAGAGAGAGAGAGAGAGAGAGAGAGAGAGAGAGAGAGAGAGAGAGAGAGAGAGCGCATAACCGCATAACCAGGAACAATCCTACGGGCCTCCACTGGCATCACTAAGACAGTCCTGGGGGACCTCAGCATTGCTGGGCAGTAACAGTACCACAGCTACAGCCCCAGCTTTGTTCTGAGGGCAGGTGGGCTGATTGCAACCCCAGGAGTGGCCTCTGGACCCTCTGAGCACTGCCTGGAATGACCCTCTCCCCCCACAAAATAAAAGAAGAAGAAAGAAAACAATCGTTGAAAGTTCAAATGATGCTAAGAAAAAGGAAACAAATCATTTAGCATTTAGTTAATAAAATAACAATAGCTGAGGCAGTTTATATGTTGGTCCCTCAATAACCTCCCCTCCGCAATCCCTCCTTTATCATTTGCCATTAGACTTATTCAATAGCTGCTCACCCGGTACAGACTAACTGGGCTATTGACTCAGCTCTTAGGCTCTGGCACGAAGACGCCCTGATGTGCTTGCAGCTCGCAGAAATATCCTCCACAAGATTCTGCATCCCTCTTTGCACCACATGTGAGCAACTCCATACGAAAGACAGGGGCCAGGCCATCTGCTCTTTCCTACAGTGCAGTGATAGGTTCCTTCTCAGGCTTTCTGACTACCCTTCTCCCCTTACCATTCCCAGGCCCTCTAGGTCATGAAACCCACCAAATGCCGAGTGTATAAAGGAAAGTTATGCTCATTTCATACTTACAGGAGCTTTTTAATTTCCTTCTTTAGGAGCCTTCTTTCCATGATTAAAGGCTTATCCAGCTGAGCAGGTAGCTGGAGCTTACACTGCCCCTGATATCCTCTGGGAAGACCCAGCCTCTCTGAGCCTACAAGCTACAGCAGCAAATCAGAGAGAATTTGAGTTAAGGATGCTATCACTCCAAATACCAGTCATGGAGTTCTAGGCTCTGGAAGGGATCTGAGGGGATGCACTTGCTCAGGGCTTTTTAGTCAGCAGGTTTCCAGCAGTTTTCAGGCGAGAAAGCTCTGTGTGTGGGGGGAGTGGGGGGGTGGGGGGATGTGTTGCAACTGAATTTATCTTATTGCTCTGATTTCTTCAGAGTGTCCACAACATTCACTGTGTGATTATTTTTGCAATAAGTCAGCAAGTTGAGCAGACATGGCTCATGAAACAGTCTACTGGTCTATTTAGGCAGAATATGTTTAGAATGACATCCAAGATGTTTGTGTTTTGTACACATCAGCACTGTGATTTCCAATGAATCCGTTCAGGCACAACTGCTTATTATGGAGTTTTCTATGGAGCCCGTCTACAACTGCCCGTGGCTAAGAGTCCCTGAAGACATGTGGTTGTGGCAAACCTAAGACAGACTCACATTCAGCATTGATGTGAAAACGGAACCAGAAATGGGAATTTAGGTGATGGAGTCCACAGGGCTCTGAAGTCAGAAAAACAAAAGAGTTTACCTTTTAGAAAATCATCATTTTTGGATCAGGGTGCCCAGATAATTATACAAATAGGAAGTTTGTATCTGAAATATTTTGTTCATTAAAAAAAGATTTATTTGGAGGGAGGGTGCACACCCAGTGGTGTTCAAGGCTTACTCCTGGCTCTGTGCTCAGGGTTCACTCCTGGGGACCATATAGGGATGCCTAGGTCAGACATGTAGAAGGCAAGTGCTCTACCCACTGTACTTATCATTCTGGCTTCTCATTTTAAAGATTTAAAGCAAATTGTGATGGTTAATTTTATGTGCCAATTTGGTGGTACCTTTGTCAAGATATTTGGTTAGATATTGTTCAGGCTATTTCAGTAAAGGTACTTTTGGATGAAACAATCTTTATATCTGTGGACTTTGTGTGAAACAAATTAACCCTTCCTTATGTTGGTGGGCTTCATTTAATCAGTTGAAGGCCTTAATAGACTGACCTCTCCTAGCAATAAGGAGTTTCATTAGTAGACTGGTTTGGAATTCAAATTGCGACTATTCCTTGAATCTCCATATTATCACTTTATCCCTTCAGATTCAGCCTAGCAACCATGAGTACATTGACCCATTTGTTAATCTCTAGGTACATATACACATAATGAAATCTCTATGTACAAATACACACAAACATAACTATGATCAGTTTCCCTCAAGAACTACAGTACCCAAACATAAGAAAAATCTTGGACATTTATTGACTCTGGATATTAGGGTTATTCATTCATGAAGAGTCATGGATGGTGACTGTATTACCTTCTGGACTCTTAAAATTATGGAGGCATTTAAAAATAATTTCCCCCAGACACTGGAGAGATAGTATAGCAGGTAAGACACTTACCTGGCACAGTGCTGACCTGTTAAGTTTGTGGCACCACATATGGCCCCCAGAGCACCACCAGTAGTGATTCCTGAGCACAGAGTCAGGATTAAGCCCTGAGCATTTCCAGATGTGCCCCCAAAAGCAAAAAAAATCAAAATATAACAGTAGATAAAAAAAATGAAAAGTAAGCAGGAATATCCCATTGGAAATGGATTAATCATAAACATAGTAATGTTCTTTCTACAGGAAAGTTGATTATGAGAGCTGACCTCTGGCCCAGAGCAGCATAAACAGTGCATAGTGGCACTTGGACCAATTCTCTTAGCTCTTCTGCTCCCCAGTTTCATGTATCAGCTACAAATGATGAGCCTGGTTAATAGCTACAAGAGCAGTTTTTTGCCTTAACCTATGGTTCCAAGAAGCTTAGGATGCACCCTTTATGTTTATGTTCATTCTTTTCCTTCAATACTTGGGGGAAACATTTGTTGGTTAAATATTTGTCCTACTTAATTCCTTGGCAAGATCTGGGAGACCCCTGAGCTTAGATGCCTCAAAAGCAAAGAGTGTTTGCTATAGCCCATTCTGATTTTGTAACTCTGTGTCAACCCTTTGAATTTCAGACTTACAAATTATAAAATATGCTGCCTCTTGGTGTTGAGATAATTTCTTTTAGAACTACCTCCCCACTCAGCAGCGTGTGAGATTTAACTATAAATCTTAAATCTGAGATAAATAAATCTTGAGAGAGATCAACAAGATACAGATATTCTTCTGAACCCCCTGCAAGGCTGAGTCATTGGACCCCAGAGTGGGGTAAATAAGCCCAGCACCCACTCAAACAGAGCCCTGGCAGCCAAAACCCTCCACACTTCACAACTGCTGCCATGCTCCTGGCTAGACTCCGTGGCTCGGGATGAACCTCATCCAGAAATTATCTGTTGATGGGGCTGGAGCGATAGCACAGGGTGTTTGCCTTGCTCACGGCGACCTGGGTTCGATTCCCAGCATCTCATATGGTCCCCCGAGCACCGCCAGGAGTAATTCCTGAGTGCATGAGCCAGGAGTAACCCCTGAGCACCGCCGGGTGTGACCCAAAAAGCAAAAAAAAAAAATTATCTGTTGAAAAACTCAGATATGCAGGTTTTATGACTGAAATCTGCAGGCTTTCACAGAGTTGGGGATGGGCTACCTAGTTCCATCTTCCTGTACTTCCAGAAGCCCTGGCGGCAGTCATGCACACACCCCAAAATACCACCTGCTTAAAAATTTAACTCTGGCTGTATTGCTTCATTAAAAAATTTGGAGTTTCTGGAGTGATGTCTCAAATTCTACAACACTGGTGACCCAGGAGTAACACACCAGATTGGATGGGATGTAATGTAGAAGGCATCAAATCTTGATTAACGAATTATCAACACAGCAGGCATAATCTGTAACAACATCTTGGTAATCCCTTGGTAATACAAGGGTTTAATAGCTCCATGGTGAGATATACAATCTTCTCTAAATTCCTTCTGAGGAAACATTTTCTGATCATTCTTTTAGCAAATTATAACAAGCAATATGAAATAAATTATTGAGGCCTGCGCTATGGGACTAGGCTTAAGGAGTGGTTGGGAAAATTAGAGATATTGGTGGCAGGAAAGTGCAATGATGGTGGGATTTGTGTTGGTGTATTGAATGTCTGTTACACGTCATGAAAATTTTACAAACCACAGTGTTTACATAAGGCATAAGGGTAAAATAAAATTTTAAAAAATATTAAATCTGAACATCTCTTACCCCTAAATAATAAGGAGATCCTGTCACACCATACTTAGCTGTGTTATATTGGACAAGGGAATTTGCTTTTCTGTGCTTCCTCCTCTGTAAAACAAGTATTGAATGTTCAGGGAGGACCCTTCCATCTGTAGAATTCTTGAACTTGCATGTATTCAGTAGCAATTCCTGGTTGAAAAAGGACAAATTGACCGGACTTAATTATTCTAAATTTGAATTCAACGAGTCACTTTTTTTTCTGTCTATAGAGCTTTTAAGGAAAACAAGGGTCTGGCTAGAAATGCACACAAATGAGCTGCTGGAAAGATGTCAGATGTCAGCTGTCTCAGGCATAAACTATTTCAGGGATCCCTGTGTGCCCCCCACCCCAAGTTACAGCATTTAACCCATAGATCAAGCCTCAAAGACAATGCAGACCCTCTGCCACCTCCTCAGTGCTGGTTTTCTCAGACTGAGGTTTATGAGGTACCGGCTCTTTTTTTTTTCTCTTTGGGGTCACACCTGGCAATGCACAGGGATTTCTCCTGACTCATGCACTCAGGAATTACTCCTGGTGGTGCTCGGGGGACCATATAGAATGCTGGAAATCGAACCTGAGTTGGCCGCATGCAAGACAAATGCCTACCCGCTGTGCTATCACTCCAGCCCAGAGGTGCCGGCTCTTAACAAATTCCCCATTCAGTATCTCTCACCGCCCAGACACCATTCCAGTGCTTTTCTTCTCTCTAGCTGATCCGGTGTCGTATCTGAGTATCAACGGGCCGGAAGCTCACAGACAGTAGGAAAACAGATGCTTTTTTCCCTGTTGGTTGCTTGGCAACAGTGACTGCGTGGAAATCATGTGTTTCAAACACCCACACACAACTTGGAAGGAAAAAAAAAAAAAACGAAGTCATGCATTCAGAAGAGGACTGTGGTCCTGACCCAGAGTTCACGTATCTTTGTACTGGAGTAGGCTTTGGTTTCACATCTAAATGATTTATCAGAAAGCTGAGAGGATGGGAGGGGTCCATCTTCCCAGAGTTGTTGCTTTGCTGTTGTTTTATTTTGTTTAATAGCACTTGATAGAAGACTCAAAGTCTCTAGTTGAAGAGGGATTTCTGGGAAGACTCACAAATATTGAAAACCCCTAGGCACTTAGGGCGATTCTCCTTGGGAATATAGATAACAGAGCAATGGCAGTCCTAAAGAACCAACACTTTTGTTTAAGCCACTCCTGTGTCACTCCTGTGAGCACACTGCCTCTTCATATTAAGCATTTCTACTTGGCTGGAAGCTTGCAGGTGTTTTCTTATAGTGACCAGAATAAGGTTTAGACTCCTGAGCCTTGACCTGTGAGTTTCCTCCATGACCCTGCACAGAGGCAGAGTTTGTTCCAGTAAATCTAAACCTCGGATTCTACGACCAGTGCTAACCAGTTTTTATGTCCACTTTCATTCCATCACCTACCTTGTCTTTCAGTTACTTAATAT